AAGTATTTGGGAATCATCATTGATAACAAGTTGACCTTTGAACTAAACACAGATATGCTGAGTAAGAAAAGTCAGCAACGTCTTTTCTGTCTGAGAAAGCTAACAAAGTTTCAAATGGACAGATCCCTGATGACATTGTTTTATAAATCTTTTATTGAGTCCGTCTTTACTTTTTCATGTATTTGCTGGTATGCTTCTCTAAGTTTAAAACCGAAAAACACATTAGCAAAGGTAAATAAAGTTAGCAGCAAAATCATTGGGATTCAGCAGATAAAACTAACTGAACTGTACAATAGACATGTGCTTAAAAAGGCAGAATCCATCATGTCTGATAGTTCTCACCCCCTGCATGCAGAATTTAAGATGCTGCCTTCTGGTTCCCGCTTCAGTCAGCCACCAGCCAAAACATATTGATATAAATTCACCATCGTACCCTCTGCTATCTCTCTGCTTAACTCTGTAAAGAATAGGTAACGTCTGCACATAAGGCTGACTTGAACTTAAACTTTTAATGTTGTGGTATTCATTTACCCATTGGTCTGACCCTGTATTTTTAATCAATGTTGTCGTCTTTGTTGTTATGTACTGTGTGTTAACTTCTTTGCTACTGCAGCAAAACTAATTTCCCCTCAGGGACAAATAAATGTCTTGAACTTCAATATTCATGTCACTTATCAAAAACACAACTTTCCCAAAATAGAAAGACAAAACATAACAATTACAAATTACTTGATTAGTGCGACGGTTCTCAATCATGGCATCATTTAAGCTACAAACAAATACAGCCATAACACTGTTCACTGATGGGCACCAGCCTTCCACCAACACTTTGGGTCACAAATGAAAACAGGATCTTCATGCCAGGGTGCTGGAAGTAAAGCCGGTGCAGGTCCTCCATCATGTTGACCAGCTTCACAATGCTGACCTCCCTCATGCAGCTGCCGCCACAGTGGATGATGAGGACATCCAGTGCTGCACTTCTTCGCAGGGAGGGGAAAAGAAAGGGAGAAGCCAGTCAGACCAAGAGACATCCGGCAGGGTGAAGATGCTTCCTAAGCTCTCTGCAACTCTCTGGCTCTCATGCTGCACATAGCTGTCACCAATGATCTAGAGTGCAAGTATGGGAGGAAAATAAACGAGTATAATAAATGCTTCTATGTCACATGTAAAGGAGAAAACATAACAAGGCAGCAACACCTCAAAATATCTAGATAACAGTCTATATTTCCAATGAAATATCAGCGGTCTAAAGTCTAGTTTATGCTGTGGGACCATAAACTCCATTTACCACAGTCACAGAAAAATATTTCTGCTGGATATCATGTACAATGCGTTAAACATGAGCAGCTAACCTTAACCTAGCTAGTCATGTCTGATGCACTACCAGTCAAGCTTCATGCTAAGACGCCTAATGTTAGCTAACTATTATACATGTCATTTTAAAAAAGGAGACAGCGATAGACTCCATGGCCTGGCCAATGGTAAATATAAAAAATCATTCAATTATGCCATACTACATTTAAAAGAATTTCTATTGAAATGAGCAACATAACGTCAACTTACCTCCATGATTGGTCAGTCAAACCCACCAATCGAATCTCTTATATTGACGATTTTTGGAGTAGTATGTAGCTTCAGTACCGGAGGCTGCCGTTTCAGGACCGCAATCGTAGGACCGGAACTGCATATCTAGGACCCTTGTTTACTTTGATACTGCCAGCTAGCTGGCTGGCTAGCTAGCTAGCTATGTTATTCTTGACACCCCCCTGAAGCCAATTACCCTTACCACAACCATCACAGAGTGTGTGCCTAAACTTAATTTATTGATTATGTGCATGTCGACCGGTTAACCCTACAGCTGTGCTAGCAGCCAGGGTTAACCTCCTTCACGTTGCTGTGCATTACCACCACCACTCCACTAGATGGCATTGTCACGAAAGAACTACAGTCCTATAACTGTGGTCCCAGGATTGCGGGGGTCCTGCAGCTACATAATATTGCATTTTTGACTTGCAAAACTTTTCAAATTGCAAAACTTTCTCACTTGAAAAATGCTTTAACCTGCAAAACTTGCAAGGAAAACTTTTTGCCTTGAAATCAAAGAGGACATATAAGCAATTAAAACTTTTTTGTGACACAAAAAAGTAGCATACTCAAATAATGAAATTTCACTGCAGCATATCTCAGCAGTTATTGAACACAACAGAATCGATATTTATATATATTTTTTTTGTGTTGTAAGACACAGAGAGCTTCTCCTCAGTGTTCTGGGACGACTCGACACACTGCAAAGAGAGAGATAATAACGTTTATACGGGGTAAACTAAACTCCATCCTGTTGGTCGCAGGAGAGGAGGCTGCTAGTGTGTCGGTCTTCCTCAGATTGGATGAAACTGGTTTCACTTCCCTCTCTGAACTCAGTAACCATGGCAACCGATAGGCATCACTGCTGAATCATGACAACAGAAGGTTTTCAGTACTAAAGATAAAAAGTTAAAACTGGCACAGTTTTCCTCATGTATATTCTTTATTCTTAAATTAAATAATTGAATTAATTTCTTGTTTCAACTGTTTTAAATATTTCTTGTCTCAAGCAAAAACCTCCAATAAAGATGCTATGTTTGTCCATTTTATGTAAGTAAGAATCAACAATGAAACGTTCAAATGAACAATGTTAACTATTGAACTACTTTTTCAAACAAACTGATAAAACAAAAAACAACATGCCCCAGGGCTTTAAAATCATTAGACTGGGAAAAAGATTTAATAGTGCACATTAAAAACTGAATCAAAAGAAATTGGCCAGAATATTAAAACTTTGATAAAGTATTTTCTTCATACAGAGTAATTCAGTTTCCTACAAGAAATTGATAATAATGTATAAAATGTAATAAAAGTTTTATTGCAACAACAAAGTCTTTGTTAACAACATAGAAGACTTCAAGAATTGTTATCACATTTCAAATATCAGACATAATATGTGAGTATTGATCCATTGATAAACAGCATCATCAGAGTAATTCAAGTCCCTGCTGGAGTCAGTCAGAGCATTTCCATAGAGAGCCACTTTGCATCAGCAGCACCATGCTCCAGTGCTCTGGGAGAGTTTATAGTCCTGAGAGTTGAACACTGGATGACTGACAGCTGTCCTTCATGACAACAGAAGCCACAGAAATCCTCCTCATCAAAAACATGACTTTGATCTGCGTCCTCATCTGGACTCTCCTCTGCTGCTGCTTCACAGGTAAAGTCCAGAGAATCAAACTCCTCTCCTCTATGAACATCGTCCCTCTGAAATGAAGCCCACAAAACCATGACGCTGCTTTATGTTTTTGTCTCTGTATCCTCAGAGTCCAGAGGCCAGGTCACAGTGACTCAGCCTGGAGCAGTGAGCTCTGCTCTGGAGGCTCCGTCTCCATCAATGTAGGACCAGTCAGATGTATATAGCTCTGACCGTTTAGCCTGGTACCAACAGAGAGATGGAGAAACTCCTAAACTCCTCATTTACTCTGCTAGCACTCGAGCATCAGGGATTCCAGGTCGTTTTACAGGTAGTGGATCAAACTCAGACTTCACTCTGACCATCAGTGGAGTCCAGACTGAAGATGCAGCAGTTTACTACTGTCAGAGTTTTCATGTTATCAACAGTCAGTGGTTGTTCACACAGTGAAAAAGTGCCGTACAAAAACCTCCCTCAGTCAGACTAAACAGAAACTGAAGTGACTGCTGCAGCTGGAAGCTACTGCAGAGACTGATACACTTCACTGAGGACACACACACACACACACACACACAAAGGTTGAAGATTTCCCAACTTTTACTTTAACCACAAATGAACATGTAGCAAAATAAGCTCAATTGTAAAAAATATGAAATCAAATTACTTTGTCCATCACAGCTTCTCACGATCCATTCATGTCTTTTTATGATCCCACCGTCTTTTTTGATTTGCCAAATAATCCAGAGTAGCCAGCCTGGGAAAGCAGGTAAGAAAAGTCTTGTTCATGACCTTTGACCTCAGTCTCATACTGGATTAAAGCAATTTCAACAATATACTTTAATTGGAAATATGAAGACACAGATCAGCATCAGAAACATTCAGGATCAGAGACTGCCCAAACAAAACCAGTACATCCCTGAAAGCACAAAATAATATTTTAGATATATAAACTTCAATCATAAAAATTCAAAAGAAAGAAGTAACCTCCTTGATATAACTATATCCGCACATACTAAAGAATATCGAATAACAGATTTTCTCCATCATGCAAATCAAAACTCCACAAATACACTGAGACTAAATGTTTATTCTTAAACTTGAAAACGGCAAAAAAAAAAAAAACTCCCCACAACATCCATCCACTAACTGTTGTGGAGCTTTCAATCACATCACATGATCTTTCTTAGCAGATGGAGTCACCCAGTTTTCATTTAAATGTAGATTTTCAAATTCCTTTTTCTCTGAGCATTTTTAGGACTTAATGTCCACATTGGCTTCAGCGTTAAAATATTCCATGACAGCTGGATGAACTCCATCTGCTGAGGAAGATCATGTCATAAAAACAGTAATGTAACTGATGAGGACTTCCATGTTTTCTGGTTGGAGTTTCTCGAGGAAGCTCTCTGAGATCATCTGCCTCAGCATCCCCTCAAACACAAAACACTGCTTTACTTGAAGAACTTTCCATATTACAGACACCTAAAGATGTCAAACCTACATTGATATTAATGTCACTAATCATTGTCTAAAATTACCATATTACATGTAGAAGTTACTAAAAATGACAAGTTTTCAGTATCGTCTACATGTAAATATGTAAATATGTAGATCAACGCTCTCAGCACTGAGGGGGAAACACCATGATATGTTGAGGACAGCTACAGCTCACTGACTCTGTGTGTTTGCATATGTGTCCTGCCTCTCTGCTCCCAGCCGTTAAGAGGCCAGTGTTGATCAGTGGCTGTCCAGGCCTTTCAGAGCCACTGACACGCCGGCAGCACAATGATGATGTCACTGATTCTACTGCTGGCCACCCTGGGGCTCCTTGTTCAGGGTGAGACTCTCTTCTGAAAACTTTGCTTCAGGATGCAACCAGGTTCACCACAATGATGTTCTGCTGTGATGGAGAAACACTGAAACAAGCAGCATTTACCTTCTTCCATCTGTTCTCCATGTTAAAGAAATGAGACTCTTCTGTTTGGATGTTGATCATCTTTCTCCAAACTGGATTTGTCTCAATAACCCTTCTCCTCTTTTTCATGTTTTCCAGATTCATCAGGAGAAATCATCCTGACTCAGTCTCCTGGAGCTCAGTCTGTTGTTCTAGGACAGACTTTCTCTCTCAGATGTAAAGCCAGTTCACATGTTAGCAATGAGGTAGAGTGGTACCTTCAGAAACCTGGAGAAGCCCTTAAACTCCTGATTTACTGGGCTACAAACCGTCAGTCTGGAGTTTCAGACCGTTTCAGTGGGAGTCAGTCTGGAACTGACTTCACTTTGACCATCAGAGGAGTCCAGACTGAAGATGCTGGAGTTTATTACTGTCAGCAGGATTACAGTCGTCCGTTCACACAGTGATACAACGTCGTACAAAAACCTCCCTCAGCTGGAGAGGAACTGATCTGAATCAACAGCTGCAGAGTTATAGAAACACTTTAGTAATTTACTGACAATGAAGTCCAACACATTAAAACTAGTTTTTTTCTGACATGAATTTTCATGTTTCCTTTATAAATTAGATTTAAAATAAATCAGATGTAACTTGAAATTCACACGTTTTATATTGAAGTCACACAGATTTCAACAAACTTAAACACACATGCTGTATTTTGAGACAAAACTACTAATTCTGACACTGTTGTGATATAATATGCTGATAATTGAAATGCAACAAATTTATCATAGACTTTAATCAGATTCATGAAACTTTCAAGACATTAAACCCATTTCAACATGAGAGTTTCCACCAATAGCACTCTTCATTTATAAGACACATATTGTAAATCTGATTTACCTTGAACTAGTTTAAAAAAATAGCTTTGTCACTAAAAAACTAATTTGCAGTTTGTGTAATGAAGCAGTTTCTGCTGTCTAGCTTTAAGGAATCTCGAACAAATAATGTCTTGGTTGCTTTAATGTTACATTAATGATTATCTGATTAATTCCTCTGAAAACATTACGTAATTTAAACGCTGCATTAAATTATTTTATAATTTAAAAACATTTCAAAACAATAGAAACAATTTCAAATATATTTGTACATTTATAACCTTTTTGGACTTAATGGAACTATTAAAACAGCAAAATCTGTAACTTTCACCATAACATGAATTGAAAACAACAGCTTTGATGAACTGGTCTTTATTTTAATGAAGTCTATGAAGATTCTCAGTCATCCAGGTCATAGTTATCCAACGAAGGTTAAAATGAAGGGCAACTGGACTTGGTTGAAGCTACTGGAAGACGTTTCGTCCCTTATCCAAAGGACTTCTTCAGTTCTGACTGACTGGCAGGGAAACTCAGCTATTTAACCTCAGTGGGGTCGTTATCCCGGGTCATCGATACCGCTGGTTCGTTAGTGTTCCTTGTTGCCGTGACGACAGTCGTTACAGTCGTTAAGACTACCTGAGGCCAAGACTGAACGACCATCGTTGGTATCTTCACCTGAGGCCAAGAGGTTACGTTTGTTGAGTTTCCTGGGAAGTGATGAAAGGACAGCATTGTAAGTGGGGGATAAGTGGTGGCGTAGACCCCCTCCTCTGTTCAATGACGGCTTCTCGACCCTGGTGTAGATGGCTTCCTTGACACCTCTTTCAAACCATCCATCTTCTCTGTCTAAAATGTGCACCTGGTGGTCCTCAAACGAGTGTCCTCTGTCCTTCAGATGTAAGTAGACTGCAGAGTCTTGACCTGAGGAGTTGGCCCTTCTGTGTTGAGCCATGCGTTTGTGTAGTGGTTGTTTAGTCTCCCCAATATACAGGTCTGTGCATTCCTCACTGCATTGGACCGCATACACTAGATTGCTTTTCTTGTGTTTGGGTGTGCGGTCTTTGGGGTGTACCAGCATCTGTCTTAGTGTGTTCTTGGGTTTAAAAAACACAGGAATGTTATGTTTGTTAAAAATCCTCCTGAGTTTCTCTGATACTCCAGACACGTATGGAATCACAATGTTGTTGCGTTTGACCTTCTTTTCCTCCTCCCCTGTAGTTTTGTTCTTCTTGGATTTTGTGGCTGTCTTCACAAAGGTCCATTTAGGGTATCCACAGGCTGTAAGTGCCCCCTTCAGGTGGTTCTGTTCCTTCTCTCTGGCTTGGGCGCTTGTTGGTATGTTTTCCGCTCTGTGGTGCAGTGTTCTCATGACCCCTAGCTTGTGCTCCAGTGGGTGGTGTGAATCGAAGAGTAGGTATTGGTCTGTGTGTGTGGGTTTTCTGTAAACACCAATCTGCAGGCTCCTGTCCTCTTCAATGTGTACAGCGCAGTCCAGGAAGGCCAAACTGTTGTTGTGAACATCTTCTCGTGTGAACCTGATGTTACTGTCCACAGAGTTGATGTGTTCTGTGAAGGGTTGCACTTCCTGGCTTTTGATTTTGACCCAGGTGTCGTCCACATATCTGTACCAGTGGCTCGGTGCTATTCCTCTGAAGGAGTTGAGGGCTTTATTCTCCACTTCTTCCATGTAGATGGTGGCCACAATCGGGGATACCGGTGAGCCCATGGCACAGCCATGCTTCTGTCTGTAGAATCCACTGTTGTACTGGAAATAGGTGGTGTTTAGACAGAGGTCGAGTAATTTGCAGATTTGGTCAGGGCTGAGGCTAGTTCTGTTGTCCAGGGTGTTGTCTTGTGTTAGCCGTTTCCTAACGGTTTCTACTGCCTCTATGGTGGGGATGCAGGTGAACAAAGAAGTCACATCATAGGATACCATGGTTTCATCTGGATCCAGTTTTAGTCCTCGAACTTTGTTTACAAAGTCAATAGAGTTTTGGATGTGGTGAGGCGTGTTTCCCACCAATGGAGCTAAGATGGTGGAAATGTGTTTGGCAATGTTGTAGGTGACCGAGTTAATGCTGCTGATTATCGGCCTGAGTGGGGCTCCTTCTTTGTGTATCTTGGGTAGTCCATAAATGCATGGAATGGCTTCTCCAGGATACAAACGGTAATATTGTTCACGGGTGATGGTGTTGTCCTTCTGTAACTGTTGTAGACATTCTATGGCCTTTTTCTTGTATCCGCTGGTTGGGTCTCGTCTCAGTGTCTCATACGTGTTTGTGTCCATTAGTAGTGTGTTGACTTTGTTCTGGCCAATATCAATGTAGTAGTGTTAAGTACTACCGTGCATCTTCCTTTGTCCGCAGGTAGGATAGTGATGTTTTGATCCTTGCTCCGGGATGTCACAGCCTTCCTTTCTTGGATGGTGAGGTTGGAAGGGGGGGCCTTCGCATTAGAAAGGGCTGCAGATACCTTTAGTCTGAGCTGTTCCGCTTCTGTTTCTGTTAATTTGTTTTTCCTAATGGCCGATTCTGTGGCTGTGGTGAGATCTACTATCGGTAGTTGCTGTGGTGTAATGGCAAAGTTTAATCCTTTGGCCAGAACGTCTTTCTCTGGTTGGGTGAGTTCCCTATCTGACAAGTTTTTCACCCATCTGTTGTCTGTTTCAAGTGTTGTGGGGTTATTGTCCTTTCTCCTCCAAGACAATTCTCCTGTTTTGTTAGTGCAGCTCGCTCTGGACTGTAGGTTTTGGAATTTCCGGGTCTGTCTTTCTTTGCTCTTGTTGTGCTGAGATAGCTGTGCTTTCTTGATGAAGTCCATGACCTTTCCCAGTGCTGTACTGGGCAGATATGTTTCTAGTTTGTGGTGTATGTTGTCCATTTCTTTGTTCAGGGCTTCAATTGTGAAGTGTATCTGTCTCACTCTCTCGTTCAGTAGCTGGTGTTGTGCTTTCTCCAATGCAGTGAGGAATGCACAGACCTGTATATTGGGGAGACTAAACAACCACTACACAAACGCATGGCTCAACACAGAAGGGCCAACTCCTCAGGTCAAGACTCTGCTGTCTACTTACATCTGAAGGACAGAGGACACTCCAGCTGAACTCAGACAAAACAGAAATCCTGGTCATCGGGTCCCAGCAGATGGCAAATCAAATACTGCCATCTGCTGGTTCCCTAGTAAATCACATTAAGCCTGTGGCAAAGAACCTTGGTGTTTGGTTTGATAGTAATTTAAATTTTGAGCAGCACACCACAAAGCTTGTTCAATCATGTTTTTATCAACTTAGAAATATAGCTAAAATTCGATCTATGTTAACTTTTAAGGACACCGAGACCATTTTACACGCCTTCATCTCATCACGCCTGGATTATTGCAACAGCCTTTTCTGTTTAACCCAAAAATCTACTGATCGACTCCAGACTGTCCAGAACTCAGCTGCCAGGCTTTTAACCAGAACAAAGAAATATGACCACATTACTCCTATTTTAGCTTCATTACACTGGCTCCCAGTATGTTTTAGAATTGACTTTAAAATTCTATTGATCACTTTTAAAGCTCTTCATGGCCTCTCGCCTTGTTATATTTCTGACCTTTTAGTCCCATACGCACCAGCACGTACCTTGAGGTCCTCGGGCAGAGGTCTGTTGTCTGTTCCAGAGTCTCGACTGAAAACTAAAGGGGACAGAGCGTTTGCTGTCAGGGCCCCGAGGCTCTGGAACAGCCTGCCCGAGGAAATCAGGTCGGCTGAGTCAGTGAACTCTTTTAAGTCCCTTCTTAAAACATACTTTTATAGGAGAGCTTTTCCCGATCTTATTTGACTTTATTTTATCCCTTTTATTTTATTGTATTTTCCTAATTTTATATTAAATTTTCATGCTCTTATCTTTTTTTTGTATTATTCTTTACACTTGTTAAAGCACTTTGTAACTTGTTTTTGAAAAGTGCTCTACAAATAAGGATTATTATTATTATTATTACTCGTTTGAGGACCACCAGGTGCACATTTTAGACAGAGAAGATGGATGGTTTGAAAGAGGTGTCAAGGAAGCCATCTACACCAGGGTTGAGAAGCCGTCATTGAACAGGGGAGGGGGTCTACGCCACCACTTATCCCCCACTTACAATGCTGTCCTTTCATTACTTCCCAGGAAACTCAACAAACGTAACCTATTGGCCTCAGGTGAAGATACCAACGATGGTCGTTCAGTCTTGGCCACAGGTAGTCTTAACGACTGTAACGACTGTCGTCACAGCAACAAGGAACACTAACGAACCAGCGGTATCGATGACCCGGGATAACGACCCCACTGAGGTTAAATAGCTGAGTTTCCCTGCCAGTCAGTCAGAACTGAAGAAGTCCTTTGGATAAGGGACGAAACGTCTTCCAGTAGCTTCAACCAAGTCCAGTTGCCCTTCATTTTAACCTTCGTTGGATATTTTAATGAAACAATTGAAATGACAACAAGAAAACAAATTTATCAATGAAACATGTAATTAGAGAGTGAGTTAGGGAAGGAAAGAGAGAGAGAGGTCAGAGATCTTTGATGAATGCTGACTGAGAGCAGTAGCAGAGTAAAACCAGTAGCAGAGTGCCAGTGAGTCAGGTCAGGACTGGGAACACTGGTCTCTCCTCAGTGTCTCTGAGACCAGAGCCTGGGAGCCCTGGGTGGCCTCACAGGTCACAGACCCCACCTTCCTCCACTGGTCTGCAGGGAGCCTCAGGGTGCTGCTCCAGCTGTAGCGGCCGTCCTTCTCCAGCACCCCGGGGCTCCTGCTCTCCTCCCAGCTGCTGCTGCTGCTGCTGCTGCAGTCCACCTTCCAGGCCAGACTCCAGTCTGAGGGGAAGCCCTTGTTGGCCAGGCACATGAGCGTGGCCTTCCCCTGCTGCAGCTCCTCACTGGAGGGGGGCAGCACCGTCAGGGTGGGACGGACATCACCTAGGAGACACCAATCAGCTTAGAGGACACCTTTGCTGTGTGAGAGCTGAGTTTCTCCTTTAAGGAGTTTCTGTCAGATGGTTTTTCTGCTCCACCAGTCACTCACTCACACATTGTTTCACTTCCCTTTAAGAAGCCTTTATTTATATACATAAATAAATTCAAAAAAAGGTGAAACAGTTTATGACAATAAAACAATCTGATGTTTTCCAACATTTTGAAAGAACTATCTTTATCTTTGCTCTGTTCTATATTGCTTGAAGAAAGTCAATTTTATTCAATAGTAACAAC